TTGGAGCCAGTCATTCTCTTTCAGCCTAACTGAAATCATGGCATTGTTGTTGGTTTAAATAGCAGGAGGCACAACTATTTAGGTATGTGCACTTGTTAACTAATTTATAAAAATAATAAAGGGGGGAAATCTAAATAAAAACCCCAGAAATCAAGAACAAAACATTTGGCCATATTTCATTAAGATGTGGGACTAAAGTGGATAAAGCCAGAGTGTGGAGTTAAACATGTCATCAGTTTGGAGTCATTGTGTTGCCACAATAGACTCAAGTCCATCTCTGCAAATTCCATTGACCCTAATCAAAAGCCAATGTACTACTGACCATAAACTGACTACATTCATTGCATAGGAGGCAAGAATAAACTTTTCTGTGCTTTGAACTCAACAGCTCTATTAAATTAATTGTGCCTGCATTATGTTGAATTCCGATATGATATGGTCACTCTCTGCCAAAGTCCCTGCAACTTATAGATGACCTACAAGGACCCTTCCAACTTTGTTATTATGTTATTATTATTAAGAATTAAGTCCACTTTAGCTGACTCTCTAGTTACCTCCACAATTAATAGAAGCCAGCTTGACCTTGTCAAAAACACCATCCTAGATCAACATTATTTATTTCTTTAATGAAGTGACTAAGTGGCAAGATAGAACAATGTGAAATGGATGGATGGGGGGAAATAGCAAGCAGTTTTGCATATAGGCTCAAGATTCATAATGACCTTGAAAGACTTGAACACTGGGCCCTATCCAACAAAATGCAATTCGGTGGTAAGCAAATAATGTCCTACACCTAGCAAAGAAAAGCCAAATGCATAAATATAGAGGCTAAATCATATGATGAAAGACTGAAGAAAATAGGCCTGCCTACTTCAATGAAGAGATGAATTAGGGATGATATGATAACAGTCTTCCAGGATTTAATCACAGAGGATATGGAGTCAACTTATTCAACAAAGCACTTGAGAGCAGGAGAAGAAATAAGATGTGGAAGATCATTAAGAAGAGATTCAACCTATATCTAAAGAGAAATTTCCTGACAGTGAAAACAATTAATCAATGCAATGGTTTGCCTCTGGAAGTGGGTGCTCCATCACTGGAGTTTTCAAGGATAGATTGAACAGGAATGGTATAGAATCTCTATTTTTTCTGGAATGGTATAGAATCTCCTGCCATGGGCAGCGGGTTGGACTAGAAAAACCCCAGGTCTCTTCTAACAGCATTATTCTATGTCCTGTGATTGTTTTCAGTTATTTGTGCCTGACAATATGTCTATAATTGCATGATGGGAACTGTACATTTTGGACAATGCTGATATTCAGAGGTCTCCTGGGACAGGTCATGGTTCTAAAGACTTTAATCTGGCCCTTCTTTCTTTGATGTCTACATTCCAAGAAAATTAAGACTTTAATCATACTGCAACAATACTATAAGTGTATTTGAAATGGCTGCTGCCAGTGATGGAATATTGTGGTTTGGCAAGGAACCATTTCTTCTCAAGTACAGTAAAGTCTCATCCTCTTGTCCAGGTGGGAACTCACAGGGGCCTTCAGCTTTTTACCGACAAATCCTAAGTGACCAATTAAACTTTGGTTTCCCTTCTGGTCTGTTGGTGCTATGACTCAAGAGGGCTTTTGGTCAGCAACCTTCAATGCTTGTGCCCATACAAACATTTTCATTTTTTTTTTTGCTTGACCTGAAGTGAAGTTTCTATCAGATGGTGAATAGGGTAAAAGTGATATTAGTTCCCTGGAGAAAATATTTACTTCTTTGATGGTCTTTGCTCAGCTGTTCTTTTTTAAAGGCTGTAGTGAAACAAGGAAGAATGGTCCAAGCATGCTTTGAATCCCGTGCAAATCTGCTGAGTCCAGCCTAGATCTCTAATTCATTTTTAAGATGTATTATTTTTGAGGTGTTGGATTGGGTTCAGGATATCCATATTTAAGTCTCCAGTTACCATGCATCTCACTGGGTGACTTTGGACAATTACTTTTCTCAGCCCAGCCAAACTCACAAGATTGGTGCTGTGCAATGTTGGGATTCAATTTTTTTTTTTACTACCGGTTCTGTGGACATGGCTTGGTGGGCGTGGCAGGGGAAGGATACTGTAAAATCTCCAGTCAGAGGTGGTATTTGCCAGTTCTCTGAACTACTCAAAATTTTCACTACCGGTTCTCCAGAACTGGTCAGAACCTGCTAAATACCACCTCTGGTGCTGTGAGTATACACTGAGGGGAGAAGAGATGGCAGATTAGTGTAAGAGAATAATAGGGATTCATGATTATAGCTCTTATGTAACAATTTTCTTAAATTATACTGATGACTTTTCATTTTATGTTTCTTTCTTTGACCAAGCAATATAATTTGATTTTGTTCCTAACAACTACTAGCATAAGACAATAGATAATAATTGACCACCAAATGTAACATAAAAATTATAAGTAAATAAGATAAAAAGTAAAAAAAATTATGAACTATATACATTACAGTGTATGATGCAGACTGTGCAGGAGTGCTTGGCTGCGGTGTGGCTGCGGTGAAGGAAATAAATCAGATTGACCTGATAATAACATTTTGAGATAAAACAAATCAGAATCACTAGGATATTTAGTAAAGAATGAAAAATGAAAAGGAGACTGCATTGGGTAATGAGTGTTCCATTTTTCCTTTCTGTATATCTTTTCTCTCCCAGACTTTATTTTTGAAGATTGTAAAATATGAAAAGAATGCCAGAATAAACAATATTTGCTCACACACTTTGCACACTAAATGCAAAATAGATTTTTTCTTTGAAAATATTTCTAAAATAAATGTCCTTTCATCAATTTGAATAAAAAGCAGGTAGAGAAAAATGCCACAACAATTTCTTTGATTAGCACGAGTGAATTCCTCTAGCAAAAGTTGCATGTATAACTTTTCTTTTCATAATAGAGGTAGACAAAAAATAGATAAAGGTGATTTTATCAAGTGAGACACCATATGGAGGAAGAGAACAGGTGCAGAATCCTAAGGCCTAGTATTCCCCAGAATCTGGCAGAAGAGATGGAGGAAAAAAATAACTTGGATTGAGCTAAAGAATTAGCAACAAATTTAGATACGGGGATTTGTTAGATATAAGTGTCAGAAACTAACTTTTCATCTGCTATTGCAGTGAACAACAACAAAGATTAACACAGAAAATTGGCTTATCGACTAATTATCATTATCAGTCAGTCAATAAGCTTTCTTATGCTTGACCGATCATAAAAAGAAAAATATTCTAGCTCTACCAAATAAAATGTTAATACAATTAAATATTATGATTAGTAGATGAATACAGCTAAAGAATCACATATTTTACATGCAGCAAAAAATAAAATGTAGCTGTATTCATAGAAAAGAAAACAATAATAATTTAAAATTAATCTGAGTCTCCTGGACATGAAAAACAGTTAGTACAGGGGAGAAATATGTGATGATCTAGAAGCTTTCTTGACTACCAACTTGTGAATTATGATATAGAGACACAAAGAGACAAATTAATTGGGATGTGTGAGGTTATTCAGTTGGGTAGAAGATGTGAGGAATAAAATAAGATAACCTTTATTGTCATTTTTACTGGCCTACATTAAAAATAAAATTATAGGTCTACATATACATAACACATATATACACATGCTACACACACACACACACACACACACACACACAAATCACTGACCACTTTGAATACATAGCAGAAAGAGTATACTTGAGGATTCATGAGGCTGATGCTATATGGAACAAAATTATCTCAACCCTGGAATTCTGTACTTTTTAATGTCATCATTCTTTCTTCATGCTAAAATAGAACCAAGTTCTCACTTCTAGAAAGCTCCTTGCATAAGTCATTATTAAGAAGGCAATGGATAGGAAATCTTTTCTTCCTTTTCTCTATTACAAGAGAAGAATTAAAAGACTTGCATCAAATCAAGATTTTTTTTAAAGTTTTAAGTTTATGTTGCAGAGGCATGCATATATAATAATACTGGTTTATCATTTATCCTCCCCTAAAACAGAAAGGTCAAATTTATCATAAGATGTGGCTTGAGGCTACTTTTATAGCTCTTCACCTAGACAGATTTTGAAATTTTAATTAGTTTGGTGTCCTTTTAAGGGAGGACTTCTGGTGATTTCTGGGCAGAAATTCTGAAAGAAAACAAGCTGGCCACCAATGACAGTTTCAGAGGCTCATATACCTCCTTGTTTCTAAATGAAGAGAAGGTTCTTTCCCTTTGCCTGTGATTCATCTCAACATTCCCATTCAAAAACCCTTTAAAAATACAGAATAACAGAATTGGAAGGAATCTTGGACATCTATTCAAACACCCTTTTCAATTAGGTAACCTTATGCCATTCAGGGATGTCTAATCTCTTCTTTAAAACCTCCAGTACTGTAGCACCTACAGCTTCTGAAGGCAAGCAATTCCAATGCACCACCAAGGGATACATCATTTAGTCATGCCAGTGACATTACCAGACATCTTCGGACAGCATTGGCTCTTTGGCCTTGTAATGGAGATGAGCCGGAAACTACTAGCATGCATGTGCAGGGGAACCTTTACCTAGTGAAGTCAGGGATCCTTTGGGTAGATGCATTGACATGGATTTAGTCTTCCCCACAATAATATCATTTTTCAAAGACTACAAGTCAGGTTGTTGAGCTTCCTGATTAGCAAATAGCACTAAATGAAAATAATGAAAGGATGCTAGATTGCTCAAAATTGCCTATTACTCACCATGAAAACTATGTTTGCTTGACATTTAAAAATCCATGCACAAGGGCTTAACTGTATTAACATGCAGGGTAGGGAGAGATCTGATGTGACCAATTAATCCCCTCCTTTGGGCTTTTATTTTGGGGCATGCCTTGAAAGAACTCTTCCCATAGAGTGACATGCGCTAAGCCAGCTAGAAACCTGCCCTTCAATATTATTGTTATAACTTTGAATTCTGGGCAAATCCTTTAGCAAATACCTTCTCATATAAAGGCATGAATGAAGTTGAAGAGCTCATTAGTTGCTTCTCACAGTCAACTGCTCAGGTTGGCTTGAAAGCAGAAAGAGATTCCCTGTCCCCCAGCCAAATCCAGCTTCCAAAATGATCCAAGCTGTCTTGGTTACTATATGCTTAGTGGTTTTTCCATATCAGGGTAAGTTGTTTTCTTTGGTTCCCTTTTCAGATTCTTACAGATAAGAGATTATTGCACCCAACAGATTACTAGATTGTTTCTTTTGATGATTAACCACAATTTGTTTCACTTCAGTTTCTATAGACCCACCAAAAGAACATTCAAAGATTGCATTTGTATGAATTTTCATAGATTGCCTTTTTGTATTTGCTTCAACTTTATCAATCAGGAAATAGATCTTTAAAAGGAAAAGAACTAAGATCCGCAAAACAAAAGCAGGTTTTCCAATAATGTGAGTAGAAAAGGATTAAAAGACTGAAGAGGACAGAGAGACAAAATTTGTTGGAAGAAAATTCAGGAAGAAACAAAGTTAGTTTTAATTTTCTTCCACTAGGTCAATTAGACACCATGTAATTAAAGTTGCATAATATTGAGCAAAGCACAGCTACTGTTATTGTTGTTATCTTTAGAGAATCTTCAAACTGTATTCAAGCTAATTTATTTATTTGATTTGCCAATTGCTTACAAGATAATAGGTATAAGTATAAACATAGTTATGAATACATGGATACATATAAGAAAAAAAAGAAACAATAGGACAGGGACAGTAGGCACGTTTGTGCGCTTATGCACGCCCCCTAATGTGATACTTGATTTTTCTTAATGCAAGATTCTAAATTATCTTAAAATGTTTATTCCCTCCATTATGTTTACTCTCTGGAAAACCTTCTGATATGCTTCCTGTGTTCTCCTTCCTTCTGTGGGCTGAGATACCTTTTGCATGCCAATTAACCAGTGTTTTTCTTCTGTCTCCCAAGCCATCCCCACATATGATTACAAACGATAATATTCAATTGCCTTAAATGGTTGCCCAAACACAATTAAGGGTTAAAAGCTAGCTGCAGTAGCCCTGACTTTTTTAAAAAGGTAAGGAAAAATGGGGTTGTCCTTACCAAGTGGGAAGCTTCCAAAATTAGAACAGTAATTGATGGAGAAAACATTATAGAGAAGAAAGGGAGTCAGAAGGGAAAATGCTGCTTTTTCTGTGCTCTAAGCAGGAGGGAATTTTAACTTTTCTTTTTGGTAGGGGAAAATTCATAGGCACATAAATTTTCTGTGCTGTGTTCCACTAGAAAGAGACTCCATCATACACGATAACTAAATACCAAATTATGTAGTACACATGCAAATAGTAGAATAACATAGCAAAGTGATTCTTTCTTTCTTTCTTTTTTCTTTCTTTCTTTCTTTCTTTCTTTCTTTCTTTCTTTCTTTCTTTCTTTCTTTCTTTCTTTCTTTCTTCCTTCCTTCCTTCCTTCCTTCCTTCCTTCCTTCCTTCCTTCCAATTAAGGGAGCTCTACAATCCTGGAATCCGGGAAAGTGAAAGATTATGAAGTAGTGTATCCGCAAAAAGTTCCTTCATCGCCCAAAGGAAGACTTCAGAAGCGTGAGGAAAAGGTAAGGAAAAATACTGCATTTCATCAAGTTATTCATTGATAAATGTGATCCTAGATTTTGCTCAAGATTATTGTGAAGCAAAGTTAGAGTTAAAACTGTACTATTTTCAAATTTTTGCCATTTAGGTTCTTCAAAAAAATTTCCACGAAATTCCAACTTTTTAGTGTTCATTTTGAAGGTTATTTTGCATTTTGTAAAGGGAAATTATTACAAAGTCACATATTTGTCAGAATTCATAGACTATAAAAAGTGACAATGGAAGATAGGTTGTAATTGGGACATATCACCTGTTTCATTTTTAGGTTGGATCTGATTCTGTTTTAAACCTTAGAGATCTGAACACTTTGAATTATATTTGCACAGAGAGATTTCTAGAGAGTGCTGCAAGTAAAGATGTCATATAAGACTGTAAATCTCTGCAAGTCCATTTCATTGTGATTAAAAGTCTGTCAAATTGTAGAAGTCCGAAAAAACTGATGGCTATCTGGATTTTTGCAGTGCAATCTATATGCCTGCTTGGATTATTTATTTATTAAACAAATTTATATGGTTGCCCAATCCACCCACAATTGAAGAGACTTAGAACATTAATTTCCTAATGTTAATAGGTGACTATAACTAATAAAGTCTTGGGAAATGCCCAGTCAGACAGGGTGGCGAGATCAAGCAAGCAGGAAATTAGCAATTGCATTTTTGAGGACTTGCAAAAGATCCAAGACTTATGCCCCACCCCCAGCAATTCCATGAATCTTATTTATCTGTTTCCAAGAGAGGGCAATCAATTTAGGGAGATTCCTGTATTCTAGGCAGAATACAATGAAATAGTTAGTTTGAACTCTACACATGTGAATTTGGTCACTTGTGCCTGAAATAAAGTTACTATTAATAGGTAACTTTAAAAGATTTCTTCTTCCTTTTTATGCTCTTGGATCATCCTTCATAGAAGACGATGAGAAACAGTGATAACTGTGAACCATGAGATGTGAAACTATCCTTTCTAGCTTCTTAGAATGCATCACTTTGAAATATAAAAGTTGGGTGGTTGTAGCTCAAGGTTAGGTTGAGGACTAGATTCAAGTCCATCCTCAGCCATAGCTCACAATGACTTTCAAGTCATTGTCCCAGCCCAACATCATTCACCAAGATGTTTAATTAGAAAAGGAGATCTTGAAGTTATACAAGCAAGTTTCGTTTAATTTAAGAAATTTTTACAGTGCCTTTCAAGCACCAGATGAAATACTCTAGATCTAATTGGCTATGGATCTCCATTTGACACAGTTATAGACTAGTTAAGTGAGTACACATTTATTTTTTAAAAAAATAAACACTGCACTCTTTGCATTTCAGACCCTATATGAAGATACCATGAAATATGAATTTAAAGTGAATGGAGAGCCAGTGATCCTTAACCTAGAAAAAAATAAGTATGTTAACATAGAAGTTCCCTTAACTTTTCAAAGACAATGTGAAAAATGTATATTCTTGGACATAATCCTACATAAATAATAATTGTATTGCTTTGTTTGGCAAATTAAAATTAAATTAAATTTAACATCACCTAAATGTAGTCGATGTAGATGTATAGTTATTGATCATGTTAATTATGTCTTAGCCCAGAACTGAGAATTTTTATTCCTACTTTCAATGCTACTCTTCTTGACCCTAACATTTTTAGGTAAGGTTGAACCCCTCAAGACTCATAAACTTCTGTACCTTGAATTACCTAGGTTATTTATGAAATATTACAGGGATTTAAAAATTATTGTTTATACCAGGGGTGTCCAACCTTGGCAACTTTAAGACTTGTGGACTTCAACTCCCAGAATTCCTCAGCCAGCAAAGCAATTTGTTCTAAGGAATTCTGGGAGTTGAAGTCCACAAGTCTTAAAGTTGACAAGGTTGGACACCCCTGGTTTATACATTCATGCTGCTCCACAGACACCTCATCAATCTGTATGTTTGCTAAGAGCCCTATGTAGCTGCTCAAGTTTCACCAGAATGTACACATTGAAGCATGAAAAGCGTGAAATGCCATGCCCTATTAAGGCATGAAAGAGGCACCTAAATCTAAAGAAGCTTGATCTAAACAGACCCAGATTTCAACACACCCTATTTTTGTTGTTAAGAATGCTATGACAGTTGCTTCAGGGATGCTCATTTGAACTGTAAATCCAGATATTAATAAAGACAATAATAAACAGATTTTCTACCTGGTTATGTCAGTATAATAGTATCCATTGGAACCTGCTTTTAGTCTTTCATTGACTCACTCAGCCAGGCCGTAGCATTTTTATTAACAGATTTGGTTCAGTATGGGAAATAGAAACAGACTAAAATTATTTTTAGTGGAACAAAATAACATAGTTGGAAAGAGGCTTGGATGTTTTCCAATCCAAACCCTGTGCTCAAATAGAAGACCCTATACCATCATGTACAAATGGCTGTCCAGTCTCTTCTTTATAAACTCCAGTGGAGTACCCTCAATTTCTAGAAGCAAGCAATTCCACTGATTGTGCTCAATGTCAAGAAATTTCTCTTAGCCCTAGACTGGATTTCTCACATGTGAATAAACTGCTAACACTGCTAAAAGAAATGGTGTCATTTTCATTGCCCTAAAACCAGTAAATGCCACATCATGTTTCAAATTAGTATAGCAGCCACTGCGCTGTAAACATGGGAAGAGTTGTTTAGAATCTCTGCAGCCCTCTTGCAATTTAATAATAGCTTTAAGATCCTGATACATAGTGGGAGCACTGGAAATAAAGTTCTGGCTTGGATTTTAGAGTGCATTTTTGTATTGACAATCTATATGAACTCTCTAAATATATATTGCCTTTAATATTAAGTATAAGCTACAAAGAAACTGCCCTATGTGTGTGTGTGTATGTATGTATGTATGTATATGTCACTCTATCCTATACAATTAGAGAAATTAGAAATTCTAGTGCTTCCCTTTTCTACTGCTTAATTATGAAGGCTGTGTAGAACTTCATGGGTAGCATCTGGATGGCCATGTTTGGACTTGGAAGCAAAGCAGAACTGGAGGTGGGAGACTAGCAATGAATACCAAGGCTATGCCTAGACTGGAAACATAGAAGGCAATAGCAAGAGAACGGCATGGATGTGACACCAGGAGTAGAGAATGACTCAGTGCTAATGTTTTGAAACAAGAGAGATGTTTCTGAATCAAGATTTAAGGCATCCCTTCCCTTGATTTCTTCCTAAGTAGTACGAATCCCTTTACTATTGAGTAAATGGAGTTACGCTACTCTCCTTTGCAGATGTAGCAGCTACACTGGATTGTTGTATAGATCAGAGGAATCAAAGGAGAGGCAATACAAAATGTATTCTCCTGGTTAATCATACCACCTCTGAGCTTTGATAGAGAGAATTGCACAGCTTCCTTGGTGCAAATCTCTTTGCTAAGATGAATCTAGTACGGGCTTCACTCCTCTTAAATAGCAGTCCTCATGAGATTGAAATACCTGCTCATTTCTTCTGATACTAAACAATATCCTTAAAATGCCTTTATACGGTAGTTGTAGACTTATTATACAATTATCTCTTTTCCTACTTAATTCCTGGTATAAATAATGCCTTCTTTGCATTCTTTCCAGACGACTTTTTTCAAAAGATTATACTGAGACTCATTATTCCCCTGATGGCAGAGAAATTACAACAAGCCCTCCAGTTCAGGTAATAACCAGAGTGACTTACTTGCAGGAAATAAATTGAGAGGAATATTTGAGCACAATATTCCAAATAGGCATATACCAGACCAGGCTATTCAAACAGGAAGGCTGTGTATGCATGAAATGTCTTATATTTAGCATGTTTTGTGTAACCGTGTGTGGATTGTTAAAACCCAATCTGTTCCACTTATTCAATTACTAGGGCAATGTTTCAATCAATCAATTCTTTGCTACTGATTAAAAGCAAACATTTCAGAGAGTGAGCCCCACAAAAAGGTTTGTTATGAAAACATCAGGTTGATAGGATGTACTTTGCTTTTTAAACCAGAGTACAGTGATACCTGCAAAATCATTTGTTCGGAACAGCAAAAGTGAGAGAAAATAACTTTATTTGTACAGAATATAGAAATCCATTATATTTCCCTCTCATTAAAAGCAGCCAGAACATTAATATCACAGCACTAATATGTTTCCTTAGGTCCATGGCCACTTCCTCTCAGAATTAAAAAAAAATTAATTTAAATTTTTTTAAAAATTTAAAAATTTAAAATTTAAAAAAATCTGTCCTCCGTTTCCAAAAACTGTTGACTCATACATATTGTCCCTACTTAATGGGTAACAGAAATCTGCTGATTTTGATATCTACATTGGTCCTGCTTCCAAAGATGTTAGTGATCAAAATTTAACCACCAGTTGGAGACTTCCAGGTTATATAGGCATCTTTTTTGGTATTGTGTATTTATATTTTTGATGTATGTTTCTGAATTTTTTCATTGTGTGGGCTGAAGGAAATAACAATTAATTGATATCATTAGTAAATGTGGGATTTTTTCTACGTTTGTGAGATTATTCATCAAATCCTGTGGTGCAGTACTAGAGTTGACCTCCAAGAAGACAAAGTTGGTGGAGATAAAAGATTGTTATTTGAATATTTTTTAAATTTCTTTGTTGATTGTCTGCCCAAAAGTTCTCAGCATTTTGCCATCAATGGGGCTCCATTAAAGGAAGTTTGACTTCCTTTAATGGAGACTTGTGATTATCCTATCCTCTGTTCATTTTGAACAATATGTTCATTTTGAACCTAAGCAGGTTCCCCCTCAACTAGTTGCTCTCTTACTCATTTTTTCATTGATGTTGTGGAATACACTGAACTGCATTTCTGCTCATCAAATCACACTACAAACAAACTTTAACTAGTCTAGCTCTCTTGCCTCCATACAGGACCACTGCTATTATCATGGACACATCCAGAATGATGCTGACTCAAGTGCAGCCATCAGGGCTTGTGACGGCTTGAAGTAAGATAGTTTTTTTTAATCATTTATTCATTTTATCAAGAGTGTAAATATTATTACTGCTGTTGGAAATCAGTTTCTTTCATTCAAGTTACTTGGGTTTGATCCAGGACATTTTCAGAAAAAAGAAAGACTTTGTTTGAAATCAAGAAGAGCTACTGCCAGACACAGTAGGGAGCTAAATCAGATCTGTTTAGAAGAGATTCAATGCTTGTGTCTCCTTTGTATACAGAAGGTGATGTTACAGGCAGAGAAGATAAGAAAGATTCAGACTGTGTTTCTTGCCAAAAAGTGTGCAGGAAGAGGCAAGCAGACTTTCAGTTCTTCCCAGAAACACTTTCTTGAGCCCCTGCACACCTTCTCCAACTACTGAGATATCTTATCCATATAAAGATTCCAAAATTCAGAAGAGCTTTATCTTTAACCATATTCAATGTCCTCCCAACAGACATTACTGAAGTAAAATATATATAAAAATCCACTTTGAGAAGACACTGTGTCTATGCGGTAGAGGAATAATTGAAATGATTAAACATAATAGAATAACAAGAGGACAGAATAACAGAGTTGGAAGGGACCTCAAGGTCTTCTAGTTCAACCTCCACCTTAAATAGGAGACCCCGACTTGAGTAGAGGAGATTGGAAAGCCATTCCAGAGAAATGGCTGTCCAATCTCCTCTTGTCATTCATCCAGTGATGAAGACAGACAATTTTCTAAGCAAACTGTCCCCACTGGTTGATTGGTTTCAATGTCAGGATTTTTTTTTAGTCTAAGATTGTCTCTCTCTTTGATAACTTCTGGTCTTGCCCTCAGATACTTTGGGGAATAGGTTGTTCCCCTCTTTATAGTGACAGTCCCTTAAATATTGCAAAACTGTTATTACCCAGCCCTTCTTTTGTCAGACTAGTTCCTGCCACTATTCATCATATGTTTCAGCCTCCAACTCCATGTTATTCTGCACTGTTTTTCACTCCATTACCCACTTATGCAGATGCTTGCCAAAAATTCTTATTTATATTCTTTATTAAGTAACCTGGTCATTCTGACTCTTAAGTTGTTATTATCAAATTAGTCTGATTTTATTTCCTTGACCACAGTCAAATATTCTTCTATACTTTCTACATAGTATTTTCTCTAACATTTTAAAGATAATTTAAAACAATTATATTTTTCCTTTTTTATCCTAAAAGTGTGATTTTTGTGCTTTATATGTTGGTCTATGACCAAATAAAGATTAATTGGGTGTATAACAATGTATATATGGATGAAATACTTTATATCCTATTTTGCCCTTATAAGAATAAAGTTTTACACAAAAACATAATCTTTCAGACAGTGTATTCTTATTTTTCTATAACTAGAAACTTTCTCTATTTTTTGTAAACCCTAGGAAATATACACCATTAGATTCCATACCAAACTATCACCATACAAATATTGTATAGACATTTCATGGTTGTATTGAAAATGCTTATATTTTTCTGATCGTAGCTGTATCTTTGAGAAGCAAAGGAAGGAAATAAAATAAAAAAATCAGTGAGTTTTAAGGAAGGATTCAAAACCACATGGGGATGTTGACTGGATCATTTAAAAATTGGTTATCCACCGAAGGGTCCTAGGTGGTCTCTGAGCTTAGTGGTTTCCTTGTAGGCATTTCATTATCCAACTAGGTGACATTATCAGTGCAGTTCACTCCTCAACTGCAAATAGTATTTCCTACTGGTTATCCATCTCTGATCACCTTTTTCAAAAAGAGTCTACAATTATTTTTTCAGTGGATATTTCAAGAATAATGGTGAGATGTACATTATTGAACCCTTGAAGCTTTCTGACAGTGAAGCACATGCAGTCTTCAAATATGAAAGTCTGGAAAAAGAGGTTGAGACCCCCCAAACCTGTGGAGCAATCCATAATTCTGGGGAATCAGATGAGCCTATCAAAAAGATCTCAAAGTTATTCGTTACTCCAGAAAAAGTAAGTCTCTTATTAAACTCTCAAGTACATAACATGGTTGGAGAACATGGATACATTTATTTGTTTCTAAATGGTAAAATAAAAGAAGAATTCTCTGGGACTGCTTAGAAAAAAAATCATAGAAGAGACCCCCACACACACTTTTAAAACTCTATTTCAGTCATTCCATACAAGAAAATATGGAAGCTCACTCAACAGAAAATACATATTCCAGATTTATATTGTTTTCTATGGTCACACAAAGTTAATTTGGACATTTGGATCAAAATGGTTTCATCTGAATCCCCAAATCATCTCAACTTTCTGAATTAGTTTAGAAAATTTAATCAAATAATAAAATACCTCCTTTATGCATACATAGGGAACTTGGGATAGGGAAAGAAACTGGTTTAAAATATTAAATCAAAGTGTTTCAAGATGTCTAAGGTAAAGGTAAAGTTTCCCCTCGCATATCTATGCTAGTTGTTTCCAGCTCTAGGGGGCAGTGCTCATCTCCGTTACTGTCCAAAGACGTCTCCATGGTCATGTGGCTGGCATGACTAAACGCTGAAGGCACATGAAACGCTGTTACCTTCCCACCGAAGCTGGTCCCTATTTTTCTACTTGTATTTTTATGTGTTTTCGAACTGCTAGGTTGGCAGAAACTGGGACAAGTAATGGGAACTCACTCCATCACGTGGTGCTAGGGATTCAAACTGCCAAACTGCCAACCTTTCTGATTGACAAGCTCAGTGTCTTAGCCACTGAGTCATCGCATCCCTTCAAGAGTTCTAATAAGACTTAATAAACATAACCTTGACTCATTTTTCCAATCCAATTTGAATCACCAAATTGGATTGAAGTAATGATTGAATTAAAAGAGACAAATTGAGTCTTGTTACCTCATATTCCCAATGTTTTCCTCCATTGCTGGAGACAGAAAAATTCAAAGACAAAACTTTACATCCAAAATAATAATTCCTTCCTTCCTCTTGATGGCAGAGGTTGAAACTGGCTGAAACATACCCGGAAGTTCAAAACCTCAACTTCTTCTGCTAAAATGTGATAGACTTGAACAAGTTGCTGTTACAATGCAATAATGATTATGAAGTCTGCTGCTTGATTTTTGGCTTCAGTCTTCTGGCAATTGGAGATTCTTTATCCTCAGCAAGTTATGGTTTTATATATAGTGTGTTTAGTTGGTCCATTATTTTATAGTCACCTTCGCCCTTTCAATGGTCTAGTCTCAATTTCAGGTTATGGTCACGTTATTCAAACTAGGTCTTGTGTATAGCAGAAAGTAGCTGTCAGATAGCAAGAAAAGAATTGGCAATCTAGGGTTCAACACAGGAACTCTCTGACCTTGTATTTGGTGGTTCCATATGCTGAAGAACCACGAATATATGTTTTTCCAGCATACGAGAATAATGGGAAGAAGCAAGTAATATACACTCATACATCTTCTAGGTGTTAAAGTTTTAACAAGCTCTTTCTATATAAATGTCTTCTTCAAAATGCTGGTACCAATATTTCAGAAAGTTCAAGTATTTTGACCAGGGAGTATAACAAGCAATTTTCTGATTATCTGATGACCCATGTGCCTGTTGGCTGCAGGGAGCAACATATCTAAACGCTCTTCTGTTTATTGTTCTGTTTAGGGAGAAGAATACTTGAAGGCTGAAAAATATATTGAACTTTACATGGTTGCAGACAATTTAGTTGTAAGTATCTTGGATATCATTCTATTTTCTTTCTGAATTGAGCACAAAATTTTGTTTCTATCTTTTTTTAATATGGCCATTTTTGAAGGCATTACCATACATAACATTCTAACTGGATTGTATCTTAAAATGTGCTTTAAAATATACTGTGATTTTTTTTGTTATTGGTCTCAACCAATATTTACAAAGGGAAAAGAAATTAGAAATTTAACTATATTCTAATTTGCACATTAATTCTTCCCAAATTCCATCTAAATTTTAATTATACATTATCCAGAAATGCAAAGATCAGGAAGTTGAATACTGAGAACATAAATTAAATTTTGAAATAGAAAAAGGAGCAAAAGAGACTTCTATATCTCTTCTACTTGAGCAATCTAGCATTCTAAAATCCAGAACAAAATTCATGAGGAATTAATCTGTGGATGGGCAAATCTGGATGCTTTGCTTTCCCTTTTTTTTTCTTATTTATTTCAAAATAAATCTTCAAAATAATTCTAATGGTGTTGAGATAATATTATACAATGTTATTGTTCATACTATCACTAAATTAAATCTGTTTCTCCACTACCATTAGCTCGAGTAGAAGTGATCCTTTGGCTAAATAAGAGCCACATTTGACTTAGATAACCAATTTGCAGCAATGCAGCATTTTCAGGAAAATAACTATTTAGGTATCTCTGAATATATGCACATTTTTGGAGCAAAATAAAACTATGTTCATGACCACAAAATGAGCCCATGGAGTCTTAGATACCAGTTTGAGCTTCCTCTTTTAGTATTATTGCAAAAGGGGACATCTTAGTCAAACTCTTTTCAGGGAAATTGGTCTCAGGCTGATGTCATTTAAAATCAGGTTCTTCCTCCTCAGCAGGGTGACTAGTGATATTCTCTTTCCATATAAAGTTATTTTTTTTGCAAAAATGTAAGCTCCTTGTTCTGCTATAAAACAACTTTCCCTGTGGAAATATAAAATGAAAATGTGTGAATTCCATGATTTTCTATCAATACACAGAATTTTCAAATATTGAAAATACTCCTTTATAATGTTAATTCATGTTATGAATTCAGCTTAACGATGTTCCTTCTTTTGAATGCTGCTTAGTTAATGCTACGATTTCAAAACAGTTTCACATTTTTTTCTTTGCGCTAGTTGGACAATATTAACTGAAAAGATAACTTACAAAAGCATTGTTTTGTTTCCCTGGGAAATATGACATGGGGATGACTTTGAGAGACAGCAAGAACCACAGACTCTAGGTCAGATAAGAGGCAGCTGAGCCCATAGGAGGAAGGGGGGAGGGGCATGGAAAACATGCAAGCCCTAGTTTCTAGGACTGTAAAGTTTGGGGAGAGGGGAAGGACAGAGAGACGTCCTTTAACCTTTCAGGATTCTGTTCATATCATGTTTGGCTATGTCTGACTATGGATGTGGGGCACATCTCTTTTGCTGAAGGATCAAGTGTTGTCTGAAGACAATTTCCATGGACATGTGGCCAAAATGGCTATATGCCAAATGCACACAGAATGCTGTTATCTTCCCACCCAAATGATACCTATTAATCATATTTGCATGCTTAAGAACTGCTCGGTGGGCAGGACCTGAGCAAGGAGCTAAACCCATTGCTCAGCAGTTCGTTCTAAAATCTGGGTCTGCCATCGCTCCAGCTCTGTGTCTTTGACTGCTGAGCCAAAACACCCCCTCTGTTAATGTAAATTTACAGTAACTACCCAGAGTTGGCACTGCTGTGTTTGCTTCTTGTCCAGACTGTTTTGCAAGATTGACACCCAGAAATCCCACCTGAATTTATTTTATCCCAGGTTTTGTGGGTTTCTTTGAAACATTCCTCAACTATTTGTTTATTCAAGTTATCAACATATGAAAAATAAGATGTGTAGTGAAGATTACGTTTCTCTAAACATGGAAATATAGCATCCAATTTAGGAAAGCATTTCAGTAGGCTGACAAATTTTTTCTCTAACCAGGAGGAGGCCACTTGTGTGGTGCTGAAAGATTAATGTTAATGTTAACAGAACAAATATAGGTTAAAAATTAGCAGAAAAGAATTCGTTAGACTGCTTTATATAGAATTATTATTTTTGTCCAATTCAGCAAATACAATGATTTTTAAGTTTCTTCCTGCTCAGCCCTGTTCTTTTTCTCTCTCCTTCAATACCCCCCACACCCTAAAATTATGGTCACTTCTTAACTTTTTTTGTCTTTTCTGTAGTACAGGAAGTACAGCGGCAACATCACTGATGTAAGGATGAGAATATTTGAAATTCTCAACTATGTAAATATGGTAAGAAGACATGGCAAAAGTTCACTTTTTGAATTTAAACCGCTCCCTGCCCCAACTCAGATTTTCACTGTGTTAATGGAACAAAATTAATCTGATAAGGAGACTTAGGAAATAGACTTCTACAAGAATTTAACTTTTCCAGATTTGAATGCAACAAAGCAGACTCATTTGGCCCAGAAAGCAGTTCAGTAACTAGGTTTTTCCAGAAAACAATTTAATTCAGTAACTAGATTAATAAGCCTCTTATGTGGATATAACCACTGTGATGGAAGGATGAAAGTCCAAAAGTGTTGCAAGAATCCAATCAGTGTATTCTCTAGCTAGATTCTTCCTGGGCTATGATTAATCTGAACCAGAAAGTTAGAAAGAAAAAGAGAGAATAAGTCTATTACAAATTCAATTGATTGTGAACACGATCCCTGAGAAGAAAGCAGGAGAGAAGAACCCAGATGAAGTTGGATTGTGACCCTTAGTAGAAGAAATTGTATTGTAAATTACTCATATTGTATTGCTTCTGCATGTTAGCTTTGTTGACTATCTTCTATTTTAATGATCAGTTAGAATCAGCAACAACAGGAACATCAGTGGGTGAAATCTCCCCTTTAATCCTCCTCCCCTTCTGTTCTTGATTAAAAAGCAAGATCACCTGGTTCTTCTTTATCATTTTATTTATTTCTTCTGCTTAATAAATTATTAAAGGTAAAGGTTCCCCTCACACATACGTGCTAGTCATTTCCAGCTCTAGGGGGCGGTGCTCATCTCCGTTTCAGAGGTGAAAAGCCAGCGCTGTCTCTGTGGTCATGTGGCCGGCATGACAAAATGCCGAAGGCTCACGGAATGCTATTACCTTCCCACCAAAGGGGTCCCTATTTTTCTACTTGCATTTTTACATGCTTTCAAACTGCTAGGTTGTCAGAAGCTGGGACAAATAACGGGAGCTTACTCCGTTATGCGGCACTAGGGATTAGAACCGCTGAACTGCCGACCTTTCTGATCGACAAGCTCAGCATCTTAGCCATTGAGACACCGCATTCCTTATAAATACACTAAATTGAGGCACACTAAATTATTAGTGTACCTCAAATGTGGAGTTTTCTGTGCTGTCTGACCTTGGTGGTTTCCTTGCAGACATTGCATTACCTGAAATGAATAGTAAGTAAAGCAACTAACTCAGAGAGCACTAAGAACTCCATAGCTCAGCTATGCGCTACAGAGGTTCTCTTCAATGGATTCCCAATCAATTTCAGTTCGCCTGTCTTTAGAAGCCAATGTCAGTTGTCTTTTAGTCTTGAAATGTTTCTCAATGTTTATTTGAGTTTCTGACTGATGCCTTGTCCACTCCACAGTATTACAAAGTTTTCAATATTCATGTAATATTGATTGGCTTAGAAGTTTGGTCTGATGAAGATAAGATTCTGATCAATGGATCATCAGAACCCATTGTGAAATCTTTTGCAGCATGGAGACATTCAGATCTACTGAAGCGCAAAAGGAATGACAATGCTCAGTTACTCACGTATGTCTGATTGCGGGGAGAGGGGATGGGCGTGGCCAGGAGTGGAAGATTATGAGAATGTTGATGTTTCACTCTGTGGTTTTCACTCTGTGTTGTATGTTATAAACTATGTGTAAACTTTGTTTCTGGGTCAAAGCAAACCCTTTTTTTCTTAGCTTAGAACTAGTTTTGAGAAAACATTTGAATGATGCTCATTTCATTTCACCTGGCTTGGAAATTGAAACTCAAGTGGTTATCCTCTTCTATCAATTAAACATCCTCTTTTGGTGACAACTTTAAAGTTGGTCTGGATGTTAGAAGATGCAGGGAACTGCAGAGGCTTCTGATTGGACATTTCTGCTTTGGCAGTTACAAAAATGATTTTTTGGCAAATTTGGAATGATGTCCTCAGAACAAAGCAGGTTCTAACAGTTTCCCATGTTTAATAATGTGTAAAAATGAAGAATACCAAGTCAATTGATGTCCAAAAAGAATTATGCATGTAATTTATAAGATTTTTTCAAATAAATTGATAGACATATCCACTTATTTACTTAGAAGTGCAAAAATCAGTGGAACAGATATCAGAGTTCCTTTTACTCTATATCTCATGATAACTTTGGCCGCACTCACATAAGCATTTTAATCTGATTGGTTTCCATTCAGCACCAGCTAAATGAATGTTTCCATTATACCACAGATAAACCAAGAATAAAGAAAAATAATAAAATATCTATTCTTGGACAATACCTGTGCTTAGCAGGTTATGTGAATCCATATCATAGATCTTAATGTGACTTGTTGATAGAGGCAGTGTGAGCTCAGTCTATATGTTATATAATTTATGAATGTGAAATTGGCAAGTTAATTGGCTCAAATCTATAACATATTGGACAAATAACAATCCTACAGGCTCCATGCAAAAAATGCATGAAATATGTTAGGGCTAGACAGAGGGCAGATTAAAGTGAAAGAGAGACTGTAAAAAATGCAGAAAATCCATTTTTCTCCCCACCTCCCACCCCAGCTATTGGTTTGACTTGTCACTCAACCAGCATTTCCAATCTCAACTAGTCTTCAATAACACCACTGCTAAATTGATAGAAGAAACTTAATTATTTAAAAAAACCTTGAATCTGGGCTTTTTGAAACACAGAGAATGTAAATTAATTTAATGCGCTGGATTCACATAACATGCTAATCACTGTGTAGTGAAAATGCATCCTGAGGACAAGGCTAGGGGTTTGCAAAAGGTATAGGGTGTGATGTATGCCCCAATGCTCTAGACTGTGCTTCCATCTTCTATAAATTGTATCTCCCCCCCCCCCACCTGCTTTCTTACAGGGGTATTCACTTCGATAAAGGAGTCTTAGGAGTAGCTTTCATAGGCGGCATGTGCAATAATTTCACATCTGTAGGAGTTATTCAGGTGGGTAAAAAGGATAAGCGTTACATGTTTGTAGTTGGTTAAAACTTATTTCACCCTTTATTACAAATAAAGTTTACTACAAACTTTATTACAAATAAAGACTCTTCTCATTTTTGATCCACATCATTTTCATCCATATTTATTTATGTATTTGACATCTCTTTGTCTTTCCTCAATTGATGGTGTTTTGTCACAAGGCATTATGGCAGGGGTCTCCAACCTTGGCAACTTTAAGCCTGGCATACTTCAATTCCTAGAATTCTGGGAGTTGAAGTCCTCCAGTCTTAAAGTTGCCAAGATGGGAGACCCCTGCACTATGGAAATGTCATAGAACAAGCTTTTTGTATACTTTGACTTATATATCAGAAGATGAAAATATATTTGGATTGGGAGAGGTCAAAGAAAAACTGCCATAATTGGCAAATGAGGAGGTCAAATGATGGTGCAATACTTGCAAACAAGGCTTCTGAACAATATTCTTAGTAACCTTGATGACAGACATGAATTGTCCTTCTTTCATTCTGAGAAATTTAGGGTCGAGATTTATATGGCTGAATTAATACACAACGAGAAAATTAGACAATACTAAATCTGCTTTTAAAAGAAACTTTCAATACTTGAAGAGCCTGTAAGAAAGTCATTTTTATTCAGAAGGACCAACTCACTCGTACATCTATGGAGCATTTCAGCCTTCAATATTCTGAAAATGCTAGTATCAGCTTTGGAAGCCATATTAGCACCAGAAGGTTCCACGCTGCCACATTCTTAAGCTTGGGAAGTTGGGAGGGGGGAGCGTATATGGTTAGACATAATAGCATTCTTCTTTGAAGTCAAGGTCATGTTTTTCCTGCACCTGGTGGAGGAGTGGCTGAAGGGATGTCTCAAGTTGGAACGGATGGTGATTGGGGCATGTGATGGAACGATGGGTGCAGGGGGTGGGTTTGTAATTTTTTACTTATTGGAGGAAAACCTGGAACTTTCAGATTCGGGTTTTCCCAGATGTGCCAGTATGACAACTGTAATAAAACTGAACTTTGCGAAAATGCCTGGGTCGGAGTTTTGGTGTTGGAGTTTGTTTTTCTGGAACCCTGACAGCTAGCAAAATCCACTAAGTAGTTTTTGGACTGATGTTGCCTGCAAGTTTAGTAACTAAACTAAATAAATGCAGACAGACAGATGGATGCAGATCTTCAGGGCTTTAAAGTTTTCTTCTGGATGCAAGTATTTGTGCATGTTCTGAAGTCATGGTCCACGTGCACCCAGAAGAGCTGAAAGAATGGTATAAGTAGTCTTAGTGACTATTCAAACTGCCATGGACCTCCCAAAAGCTACTTGTGCCCTGATTTTGAAGTTCTGAGATCCCGTGACTGCATTTTGAGCCCTTGACCATCAGCCTGCAATTAAGGCCATTTCCAGTGCCCTGAGATCATGTAATTGTAATTTATGAGTTTTTCCAGAAATTGGCATTTTGTTCTGGTTTTGTGCAGAAAGAAACCCAAAGCAAACAATGGATTCATTTAACAACCACAGTATTGTATGATTGACTGTGACATTTATTTTAAGACCACTGTGTTTGCTTAACAAACACTACAAAAAGGTGGTAAAATTGGGTCAGTCTTATGATGACCCATTGTACAACCATCCTAACTTATGACCATAATTACCAGCCTCAGTTATGGTCATAAACTGAGGACTACTTGCATAATCTTTTTGTTTCAGGCTTAGATAAACAATATACTTTCTTAGCACTTTTCCATGTTAAAACCAGTGGATAATGAGAAAAACTGTTGCTGTTTGGAGAAAGCACAGTTTGGAGAAAGGATCTGACCCCTTCAACTCCCTTTGAGACTAATGTTTTATTTATATTTCCTTTTTTTAACTCAGAAAACATAATAGGTAGACACTTTATTGCCTCCTTATTCCAATGAAATAATTGTGGAGGAAATCTCCATCTCTAAGCTACTAAAAGAACCCATCAAACTTTGAAAAAATAACTGTTTTCTGCAAGAAACCTATTCTCAGCCCTGTAAATTATTTATTTTTCTAACTTTTTTATTATTAGAAAGTCCCTGAGCAAAGATTTCAAATAATTGGGGTCCCTTCTGGTTTCTTGGTGGATTAACTGTAGACAAAAATATACTCTCTCTCTCTCTTTTTTTCCCCCAGGATAACAGCATCCAGGCAGTTTTAATTGCAGCTGTAATGGCCCACGAGTTGGGTCATAATCTTGGTATGAATCATGATACAGATTCCTGTACTTGCAACACAGGACCATGCATTATGAAAGCCTCAATAAAGTAAGGATTGGGGGGGGATGGGACTTTTAATGCCTTTCAAATCAAGTGAATGATTGCAATTAATCATTAAATTAAGTATGCTGAGAACTTAAAAAATGAAATGGTCAGAATTACAGAACAGTGGGGTCTGGTCAAATGTGTGTGAATTTATGGTGTGTGATTACAATGTGTTGTATTTTAAAAGGTAGAATATCTCTCAACAGTTGAATTGCCATCGTTCAGTAGCTTCCTCCAAAACACAGTGGTTTAAAAAATGGCATAGGAAACATAACCCAAATTTTAATAACTGGGATGGAAGTTGTTACCATGCTTTATTTTTTAAAGAAACAAAAGAGAGATGGGAAGGAGAAGGAGAAGGAAAGAAAGGAGGAGGAGAAGAGGGAGGAAGGAGGATGGAGGGAAGAAGAAGCAAGGGGGAGGGGAGGGGAGGAGAAGGAGAGGAAGAAGGAAAACAGGGAAAGGAAGGGATGGGAACTTCTCATAAATTGTTTGTTCCTGTAACCTTTTGTGTAAGATTTTTCCATAGTCTCAGGGCACATGCTACCGGTTGACAATTTTCTGCTTTCTTCTGCCAAAGAACTTCATTGTCTCATATTTCATTCACTGGCGATGAGATAGGAAGTATTGAGAATGTTATCACACCTCTTCTGCATTTTTTAATACTTCAGAACCACGATTTGGTGTTTGATACAGATGCCCTGGTTTAGGGAACAATTTTGTTTAATAAAACCCACCTAATGGGTCTGGTGCATCTTTGCCCTTAACCATGTTGTCTATTTAATGGCCAAAAGCCGTTGGTCTTTGGGTTCTTGCTTTTACCCTCTAACTTGAGGGCCAATGATTATATTCGTAATTATTTGTAATAACATTAGGAAAGTGGATTTATCATAGTGTATTTGTATCTCTTTCAGTATAATCTTTCAGAACCCAGTGGCAAGTTGCTGATAATAGAAAAGAAGTCCAATAAGTATCTTAACTCTCCTTTGGCCTTAAAATATTTATTATTAAAAGTGTAACAACTCCAAAAAAAACCCCTTTAATTACATTATTGCCATCTCTCCTTCATCCCATCAGCAATGACATTGTGTGACTTCCAGGCTCCCCTTCTACAGAGAGACTAAAAATGAAAATGAAAGGTAGTCCACTGAAACTAGCTTAAGCAACTAATATCATGTGAACTTCTCATTACAAATTAATTTTGTTAAAAAAGGAAATAAAGTTAGTGGAAATAAAACTGAGGGAGAATAATCTGGAAGTAAGACCAGGGGGTATATATAGTTCTCTTAATTACCTTTTTAGCTTTATAAAAAATTCAAATATTTGTTCTTTCCATTTTTTATGTTATTGCAATGAATTCTGTTCCTGGTCCAAATATGGATGAGATCACAATCGTGTATTGGTTCATTTTTACAGTTTTAACCCTCCTTGGGAGTTCAGCTCTTGCAGTTACTGGTATTATCAGAATTATATCATGACTGAAGCTGCACAATGCATTCTCAATGACCCCATGATCACAGATATTGTTCCAATTGCAATTTGTGGAAATGGTTTTGTGGAAGAGGGAGAAGAATGTGACTGTGGCCCTCCAGAGGTAATTTTTTTTAAATCAACAAGGGTGATTCCATGAACTATATCAGAAATGAGAATCCTTGCAAAATCATCTTTCTTAGTGGTTTGAGCTATCCAAGAGATTGGCTTCTTAGTGATATAGGTTTGTGTCCTTCATGCACATGCATTTATGCATTGGTTTGTTGTATTTGAAAAATCAGTTTTAGAGGAATAGAGAACTGATATCTCACTTACATTTTGGGAAGACTGTGTTTTTTTAAATGGTTTTTTTACAACACCAAGAATATCCTTCCCTACTGAAAACCCCTATGTTGTTGACATTCCCATATTACGAATGAGGGCAAATATATGTGTCCTAGGATAATGTTGCAGGAGCCAATCTGAGTTTATCATCAGGACCAGAGACTTTGTCTTCCAAGCTTTCAGACTTATGCTGGAGCCCAGAACTTATCTCTCTCACCAGAATATCTGCCATCTGTCAGGGTTCTAGTGATTGCCCTAATTAAATCATGAACCTCGAGCCAAGTTTCAAAAGAATCCTAAAGATTTATTAGGAGCAACATGTCAGCATTAACCTAAATGAAGCCAACTCTGGCATATGTAATTTACAGTCATCTGTGACCCTGTTTCTCCCCCTCCCCCCTGGGTGTGTCATAAATCAGATTCTCCAATGAAGCATATTCACGGGCTGGGTGTCTTCAATCAAATTCTTCCATGAAGGATTTTCATAGTCAGAAGATCCAGTAGCCTAGTTACAATCTTTGTAAGATAAGCGTGGAATGTACTTTTTGTTTTAAACTGCTGTACTGTTCCTTCAGAAACCGCCCCCCCTCATTTATGGCAACTCAAAAACAGGCATAGGAATGTTTTATGAGTTGACACTATCATTGGTCCTGGTGACTGAACCAGATTGGATCTTGCAACTTGGCCACATTACCTATCTCACTGTTTCCTTGAGCAACTTTCTCTTATGATCTTCAACTTCTGTTCTGCTTTCTAACAGTAATTTTTCAACATGAACAGTGATTTAGCAAAGTATTCTCTTGAGATTGTTAAATAGAGTCAATACACATAATGATCCTTGAGAATGTGCTTGAGAGATACAAGGAGAAGGAACAGGCTACTTAATTGTCAGATAAAAGGTAGCAAGTTCAGCCTGCAGAAGCAATGGGGTATGATGAACATCTCAAGAGAAATACCCATCTTTCCATAAAGATAAGGGGAGAAATGTCCTTTCAGGAATGAAATATTATCATAACTTTAGAATAAGGGTAGTGTTAAATATTCATGTTTGGTGCTTCTTCTCTGGCCTACCTCAAAGGCTGGCATCCTCAGTAGAAAATCACTCAGGATAAGCAAGAGTTTTGGGCTGCAGGTTATGTGAGCTTCACAATTAGGAGATGTGGATATTTTTTTTGTTTCTTTCTCTTCACATAGGAAATATGTGATAAATCTGTTTCCTGCAGAAATGCCACCATTCTTTTACAATAACATGGAACACAGAATAACAGAGTTGGAAGGGATCTTGCAGGTCATGCAGTCCAACACTCTGCTTGAGCTGAGAAAATGATAGCATTTAAGAAAAATGGCCGTCCAGTTTCTTCTTGAAAGCCTCCAGTGATGGGACATCCATCACTGATGGATGGGGCATCATCCATCATTGATGGATCCAGTGATGCAGTGATAAATCTGTGATGGATCATGGATAGAGGGGGCATGGATGGGGCACAGTGGTAGGCAACCAACAAATACTCAGGCTGCTATTAGTCACTTTCATCTTCCAACATGAGCTCATAAGAGGAAACACATGACAGAAATATCCTTTTCCTTGGCAGTTTCCCTCTTCAAAAAAGACCAGGTAAAAGAGACCAGGAAGGAAAGCCTATGATGTCATTTGATATTTTTTGGTTTTCAGATATGTAAAAATGAGTGCTGTGAAGCTGCAACTTGTAAACTGAAACCTGAGGCAGAGTGTGCAAGTGGAGCATGCTGTGAGAAATGCCAGGTAAGGCTTGCTTATTTTTAACATTAGGAGAGATTTTACCCTGCTCCTCCCTAATAATATGAAAATGTTACATCTTTGGGTTGCTTACTGTGATCAAAAACATGTTAACCCTGTTCCCATCCCTTCTTCCAGTTTATTTCACCTTTGAAGATAGGGAAGACAGTTCAACAAAATTTCAGCATTGTTTCAGTTTAAAATGCATTCCATTGGCATGTTAAGTCACGTCTGTGAAAATAATATATATCCTTCTTTGACTGAGTTTGCATGGGACCCCAGTTTGAATAAGGCTGGGCAATTTTGGGATTGGTGCCCTAACTCACCTTCCTAATATTCTAGAAGGTTCTAAGAGGTCTCTGATAATGTGTGACATTTTTTCTCCCTGCTATGACTTTTAAACAGGGATGTGTGGCTCAGTGGCTAAGATACTGAGCTTGTCAATCGAAAGGTCTGCAGTTCAGTGGTTCGAATCCCTACCACCACATAATGGAGTGAGCTCCCATTATTTGTCCCAGCTTCTGCCAACCTAGCAGTTTGAAAGCACATAAAAAATGCAAGTAGAAAAATAGGGACCACTTTGGTGGGAAGGTAACAGTGTTCCGTGGCGTTTCTTTGGCGTTTAGTCATGCCAGCCACATGACCACAGAAATGTCTTTGGACAGTGCTGTTTCTTTGGCTTTGTAAAGGAGATGAGCACCACCACCCAGAGCCGGAAACAACTAGCACATATGTGCAAGGGGAACCTTTACCTTTATGACTTTTAAGGTGGAGATGGGTTCAGGAGATTTCTAGAAGTCAAATTGCTTTCTTTTGCACCATTAGGTTCCCTACCTGTTCTCCAAAGCCCTAAATATTTTAGTTGCACATTTTGGAGGTAGTGGAGTGAGAGGTGCAGGTTTCTCAGTCCTTCTATATATGATCCCAGTTGACTGCATTATAAACTTTTTGAGCAGAGAGGGGGCCCAAGGCCTTTTGTTATTTCCATACTTCCATCACAAGGCAAGACTCACAGGAACAGAAAATACCCATGTTTTTTCAGCACATGAGAGAAAATTACAAAATGCCTTTTTCCAATATAAAGAAATAAAAATATAAGAGGTTTTGCTGCTTTTTCATAAGGGCCAAACTGATTTTCATGGACATCCACAGTCAGCAAACTTGTAGCCCTTGTGTTTCAGGAATTGAGCTTCTCATGGCAATCATTTTCTCATAGCAAATAAGACAGGCTGGGATTTCTAGGCACCGTACACAATGTTTTAATTCCTGGAGCCCATTTGTATCATGGCAGGGATGCCTTGCTTGGTAATCCTCAAGACAGATGAAAAGAAGGCTTTGAAATGTATTGTGAATCATGGTTTGACACTTTGCTCTCTGCTGCTAAAGAGTGATAGTTGGCAGCATTCTTCATTCTCACCCACAGTTTAGGAGAACTGGAGAACTATGCCGGGCAGCAAAGGATGAATGTGACTTTGATGAAATCTGCACTGGCCAATCTGCCGAGTGTCCCATAAATCTCTTCCAAATGGATGGATACCCATGCCAAAACAACCAAGGTTACTGCTTCAGGGGGACATGTCCCACCTTAACAAAGCAATGCATTGCTCTCTGGGGGCCAGGTAAGTCAACCTTAGGATTTCAGAATGATACTGATATAAAAGACAGTTGTTGCAATTGATCAAAGATATTCTTCTTTGGTATCCATGGTAAATCATTATCTCATTATGATGGCATATTTTTTTCAAGATGAAGTTCTTTCTTTGGAAGCTTCATAGCCCAGTTCTCCAGATCAATCCATCTTTTGGTTTAAAGCTCCAAACTTCCCAAGAGAACATGGCCAATGGTTAAAAAAAATGATAGCAGTTGTAGATCAGAAATCTGGAAAGACAGACAGAAGGGGAAGAATGCTTTGTGGGTTGTGGATACATTCCCAAAGTGAGCAAAGATATGAGACAATATATGTGTGAACACTTCAGTATTTGTCTTGGTTTCTCACTCCCCCTCTTACAGATGCAGAAGTGGCTCCATATGGTTGTTTTATGAATAACGAGAAAGGGAAGGATTATGCCTACTGTAAAAAGGAAAATGGTACAAACATTCCATGTGAACCAGAGTAAGCACTCTAAATTATTTCCTGCTATGATGATGACCTCATTTAAGGATAATATAAAAATGTTTTCAGGTCCATATCTGCGGGAACCTGATTCTAATTCCCGCTAAAACAACAGAAGTGTGGACCAATTTCTGAATGGCTAATTTTCCTTTGTTTTCCATCTTGGGTTACAAGAGGAATATACCCTTTTATACCCCATTTGGGTTAAAAGTGGGGTATAAAGGGAGTTCCATGAGGACAAAAGTGCCTTTTAAGAGACTGTATAAGAAAGTGCAGGTAGTCCTTGAGTTACAACCATCAACATCAACACTAAAATAAGTATCTCACAACTTGTCCTTGCACTTACACTGTTGACAGCATCCCTATAGTCATGTGATCATAATGCAGATGCTTGTCAATCAACCTGTATTTATGAGGGCTGCAGTTCTCTTCCAGCTTCCAACAAGAGAAGCCAAGCGGGAAGTCAGATTTGCTTAAGAACAATGGGATTCACTTAATAGTTGCAAAAACATCATAAAACCAGCTGCAAGACACTGAACAATAGACTTGTTTAGCAATGCAAATTCTGGATCCTTTTATAGCGATAACCTCATATTGGTGTGGCAAGATGTTGAGGCAGGAGCAAAAGTAGAGAAGGCCCTCCTCATGGATGCGTGCGAGCTGGAATAATTGGGCTGACAGGACCTGCAGCATGCCTCTGCCAGCACGAGTGGGGTGGGCCAATCCCGGTGGGATGAGATCAAGTAACTTGGTTCCACATGCCATGATGAAGGGCTTTAGAGGTGGTCACTGACACTTTTGATTGCACCCAGAATCAGATAGGCAACCAATAGAGCTCGCAGAGCAGCAGAGCAGTGGTTTTAACGGGGGCCATTTTGATCCAGGAAAGGCCGCATCAGGTGCATCTCCTAGCCAAGACTGTCTCCTGCTCCAGGAGAATCCCCAAGTTTCAGACTGAATCTGTTTGAGGCAGAGCAACCCCATCCGGAGTCAAAGATGAAGAGTCCTGGGTCCTGGCGCCCCATGTACCCAAAGCCGTTTGGTCTTGCCAGGATTCACTTGAAACAATGCCTCTGGGTGGCATTCTGAGGACACAATAAGAGCATAGAAATACTGCTATCTCATCACTCTTATTGCCATGAGGTAGACCTCAACAGAGTCATCCCTTTTCTTCCTCCAGAGGCTATCTAGGCAGAACCCACAGCTCCTCCATGAACTACAGGGAGGGTCAGAAACAATGGGAGGTAGCGTATGAGCGCCACAAGAATATGAATTGCACTTAGTCATAAACCATAACTTAGAAACCACAACAGTGAGATTTGCACCACAAATTGAACCCAATCCAAACAATTAGTTGCAGTACCTTTTCATGATGTGTGCAAATTCACTCTGCCTTTAGGTCTTACACAAACCCACAGAATCCTGTGCCATTTTTTTTCTACTAAAAGAAGGGCAGTCCTTATTTTATATATCCCTATTTCAATCTTAATGGACTAATATGGAAATGGAGTAATAATCATCTTTCAAAACAATTTCCCTTTCTAATATTCAGTGCAATTCCCCCAACCTTTAGATTTCAACCCACCTCATCCCCCATCATTCACTAAGTCACAGATTACCAGAAATTTAGGCTAGAGATCTGGAAAAATCAACCCGCCTAAGTCTGCCTTAGGAGTTTTCCATGTGGATAATAGATATGTTACTACTCTGATGATAAGAATCCTGACTCAAACTATCTTCACTTTCATAAACAGGGAAACCATGTGAGCTTGTTGGAATTGTGTTTTCTACTTTTACTCCAAATCCTGAAACACCTTGTGAAATTTTTCATTTAACTGTTAAATGCAACCCAGTTCATTTTGAGGCTGAGCAAGCTTTGGATTCTCCATCTCTGTTTTCAATTTTTAACTTAAATATTTTCAAAAGAGCAAAAAAAGAGACATCTCACTAATCCACTCTGTATCAGGATTCCAGTGATTGCCCTAATTAAATCATGAGCCTCGAGCCAAGCTTCAAAAGAAACCAGAAGATTAGGAGCAACATATCCGGCATAGCCTGTATGACGCCAACTCTGGCATATGTAATTTACAGTCACCTCTGACCCTGTTTCCCCCCTCCTTCCTGGGTGTATCATAAATCAGATTTTCCAATGAAGCACATTCATGGTCTGGGTGTCATCAGTCACATTCTCCACTGAAGGATTTTCA